ATACAGAAGCTGGAGTAATACGAATGTCAAGCAATGGATCAACCTGTTTGATGGCTATATCAAGTAGAACACAACTAGTGGAATCAAGAGATGATATTGATGAAAAGTTCTTAGCAAATAATTCAGCTTTGTCTTTAGGTGAGGTGACAAAGTCTGAACCATACAAAAGAGGTGGAATTACAGACTTGCCCTTATTATTGATACTATTAAAGATTCTCTGGAAGTCATGAAAGCCTAATTTTTGTGATGAAGTACGAGATTTCATGACTTGAGAATAGCGGGCTTCGGCGTTAGTCAAAACCTTTTTGCAATGGTTCCTAGCAGTAATAAACAGACGTCTGTTTTCTGGAGAATTGTTTTGCTGATAAATATGGAAGTAATGATTTCGATTGGCAATTGCAGCTGCACAATGTGAGGGAAACCATGGGGAAGAGTGAGGCTTGACCTGGAATAGTCAAGAGAGAATAAAGGATTCCATGCCAGCCTGAAGCCACAAAGTTATGTAAGAAGCACATTTGTCAACAGGAAGACGAAAAATTTCTACCAAAGGGCCATCACGAAGAAAATCATGAAAAGAGTTCCAGTCAGCTTTAAGGTAGTTGTAAGATGTACAATGATAGGGGGATTCTGATGGTAAAAAGAAATAAGATAATAATTTCAGAGAGATCAAACTGTGATCCGAGGCACCTAAGGGTGAATGTGGAGAAATTGAGCACTGACTAGGATCAGAAACAAGACATAATTCGAGAAGTGAAGGTAAATGATTCAGGTTGTCTGGAAAGCGAGTTGGAAAGTTGACTATTTGAGTTAGTGATTGAGAAAGACAAAAGATGTGGGCTTTAATGCCTGCAGAGTCACTGACACTAGAGCCAAGCCATTCTGTGTGATGAACATTAAAGTCACCAACAACAACAATATTGGCTAATGGATAAAAAGAAAGGGCTTGGTCAATATGATCAGAAAAAACATCAAGAAGAGTGCAGTCTTGAGATGAAGGAGAGCAATATAGAACAAAGAGAAAGGTGATAGAGTGAAGTGGTGCTAAACGAAAGCACATAAAAGAGTAGTCTGTGGATTCAAACCTAGTTTCCCGACAAATAGGAGAATTCTTACGAATGTAAATGCCCAGGCCAAGCATGTGACTATTGGAGTCACATGGAGACGAATTAAAGGAAGATAACCATCAACACTAAGATCACAAGATAAGCTGAACTCAAATTAGTCTCACAAAGAGCAAATAGTTCTGGTGAACTTTGCAAGAGATAAGACTCAACAGAAGAAAAGTTACTTTGAAGACCACAAATATTAGTGAATGATAGGTTTAATGAACTTGGTGATGAAAGTGGTTTTTTGTGTTTTATAGTTTTTGTTACTTTATTCATTTTCAAATTTGTTAAAGAACTTGACTTGGAACATAAATAGTACTCAGTACACTGTTTATTAGCAATTGCCTCGTTACTATTAATAAACCCTAAGCCATAACAAAGGGCTCCAATGTGGCCTTGGCAATGCACACCAAAAGTAAAAACAGGGACACCCTCCATGCGCAACATGGCACTGTTAATACTTTGATATTTTTCAGCTGTTGATGGAATCAGCCTCTCTGAGAGCTACCACAGAGTTCGGGAAACCTGGATACCAGCCAGCCTTAAAACCATAAAACTGAGTTTTAAAGCTGTACCCTCATTAGGAGGTAATAGAATGAGTTGCCTAGTCATAAAAACAGAGACACAAGCAAAACCTATGCATTGAGTCAAGAAGATCCAGCATTCAACATCCTAAACTGGAAACAATGTATTAAGAATACATCTGTGCCAGCCGATTAGATGAAGAAGGGGTGCGAGGCTGGTCAACAGATAGAATCTGTTTACCCTTTAAAATATGCGAGGCTTTAGATCATAAACAGTTTGCTAGTGGAGTGTTTGTTGATTTGCAAAAAGCATTTGATACTGTCAACCATGAAATTCTATTATCAAAGCTGTATCAAAAAAACTGAATTTAAACCTAGAAATTACCAAAAAACTCAATTTTAGAATTAGTGGTCAAAAACTAAATATTGTAGATAAAATAAAATATCTAGGCATATTATTATATAAAAATATTTTGTTCATTCCACAAATTAAATCCATAGCAAACAAAAAGTCGAGAAAATGGAATGCTTACCAAAATAAGGCATTTTGTGAATTACAAAACCCTTGTGAATATTTGGCATGCTGTATTTAACTCCCATCTACGCTATGGTTGTCAGATAGAGACAAACTTCATCCATTTTTTAAAAAAAACCTTAATTAATCTCTAGAATAAATCGTTAAGAATAATTCACTTTCAACCTAACAGTTTTAGTTCTAACATACTATATAATCATTCTAAAATTTTAAAGCTTGACGAACTTATCTAGTTATCAAACTGTGTACTTGTATGTGACATAGTCCACAATAATATGCCCAGCTGCTATACTAGCTATTTTAAATTCATAAATGATATTTATAGTTATAAACTTAGGTCTATATCTTATTGTAGTCTCTCTAAGTCTTTAAAATAAACACATAAGTATGGCATAAAGTTAATCTCCCCCGCCTAATTCTCAATAACATTTTTTTTTTGTTTGTTTTTGTTTTTTTATTACTATTTTTTTTAATTTTCTTTATTTTACTTTAATGCATATTGATATTTTTATTTCCTTCTAACATACTATGCTTAAAAAATTCTGGTACATAACTAAGCTCTCCTAGGACTTCTCCTTCATTAAACTTCTATCCATTACTTTTCTTCTTTTCATCTGTTTTATTTTTTTGTTATTGATATTATTATGAATTTTATATTTTTTATTTTGCATTATTATTAATGATAATCACTATTTGCTACAAATGTTTTATTCTGATTATAGTAGTAAAAAATATATAGATTATACTGTTTTATATTTTTGTATTTAATATTATTATTAATATTATTATTACTAGTATTTATTATTATTATTTATTATTATGCTATAATTTATACCATCATAGGTCTTTACATGTCATCAGTTTATAACTGTTTGTAAATGTCCCGCATGATTATATACATATACAGTATTATTAAAGTGAGAATATATTGATTTGATTTGATTCAAATGTTCTTATTAGACGATTTAAGAGATGATCAGTTAAAGTAAAAATATAGTTAAGACATAATGCTTTTGTTTATATGATGCTGCTTTATGGCATAGTTTTAGTGTAAATATTTTGTTTAATCTACAATTTTTTTTACAAGAAATGTACTAAAATATTTTTTGGCTATGACAAGTACAAGATTATATAAGTATAAGATTATGTTTACAGTTAAGCAATAAAGTATTTAAAGTAGGCAAGCCTAATTCCATAAACATATTTCAGGCTTTCACAGGAAGACGTGCGATTTCATGTCTTTATATGACCACGCAAGTTACATTTTGCTATGACGGTTTGACTGTGACTAATTCAAAAAACATTTTAGAAACCCGCTAAATTAAATATATTCTAAAAAAGTGAAATTAATTGCATCAAAACTTCTTAACAAATGTTTTTATATTAGCGAAACGATTTTAAATAAAGTAACAATTTACTGTTAAATGTTAAAAAAATGTTTTATTTTTTAAATATAATTGACAGTTGTATAAAATTTTTAATTTAAAGCATATAAATTGTTTAAGTGTTCATTTCTAAAATAAATCTTATTAAAAAATAAAAAATTGTTTTGTTTTTATAAACGATGACATTCTACGATTACGATTATTTACTATTTAAAAAGATAAACAAAATTTCGTTAAAAAAAAAGTTTTAGGAAACCGTTACAATTTAGTAAGTTTGATCTTAAATGCTTTTATATTATCAAAACGCTTTTAATGAAGTAAAAAAAAAACACTTCTAATTAATTTAAAAAAAAGTATTTATAAAATGTTTTTTTATTTTATTTATATAACTATGTATTTTTTATGAGAAATATTTTACTTTTCAACATTTTAAACAAATAAAAAATATATAAAAATGTTGAAACAAAGATTGAAAAGGTTTTTTAATGTGTAAATTAAATAGACTAAGCATTTTAGTTTGATGAGTTTTGTTTTTGTTGCGTTATATATATATATATATATATATATATATATATATATATATATATATATATATATACATATATATATATATATATATATATATATATATATATATATATATATATATATATATATATATATATATATTTATTTTTTTGTGTTTTTGCTTTAACTAAGTATTTTTTTATTTTTATTTTCTTATTCGTTAATATTTATAATTTAATAAAAAAATTTTTTCAAGTAAGTTTAGGTAAGTTTTTGTAGCGCGTTTTTAAATTTTCAAAATAAGCTGTGGTCAAATTGTTAGAACTTTTTTTTTTGCGTCGTCATATAAAGACATGAAATGCTTGCTGTGAAAGCCTGAAATATGTTTATGGAATTAGGCTTGCCTACTTTAAATACTTTATTGCTTAACTATAAACATAATCTTAAAAATCAGCTAGTCGCCAGTAGCAATGCAGCTGTGTGTGCAGTTAACTGAAGCCTATGAATTGATTAAGTTTATCTTTAACTATGGACCTTGTATTATACTTGTTTTCTGATTCAAATAAATAATAAGATAACAATAAAATAATAAAAGATATTTAGCTTATAACATAATTATTGTTTTTCTGGCTTTACTCAAAATCAATGTACCAGATAATAAAAAAACTAGGTTTATTTTAATACTCCATAGGTGTATCAAATTTTTATACCTTAATTTTTTGTTTTTGTAACTTAATATAAAATTTAAATTGCATTACTGAAGTAATTTAAAACTTTTCAAGTTATTTTTAACTTATTAAATAATAAACGTATATATATATATATATATATATATATATATATATATATATATATATATATATATATATATATATATATATATATATATATATATATATATATATATATATCTGTGTGTATAAATGTATATATATTTATATTTGTATAGTAATAAACCTACTCATGATACACACATTTTTCTAATGATATAGTTATGGACGCAAGCAATGTTATTATTGATCTTAGCGATGTGGTTATTGATTCTGATGTTGTAAATAATGGTAATAATATAATGCATACTGATAATGCTATAAATAGTGATGCTGTAAAGCATAGTTGTCACAGTGATGATACTATTCAAGGTAGCCTAACTGTGAACAGTAATGAAAATTATCTTGAGATTGAGGCAGAGAATGCTTATGAAAGATTGATCCAACAAATTAATGAAGGTTGCAATGATGAATTTGATTTTCAGATTGATGACCATAAATATAATTTTAAAAGTTCCATTAATACAAGTCTTTCTTTGGTCAAAGATGTTACAAAAAGTGAATTATTAGTTATAGAAGATAAAAAAAAATCTATTGAAACTATTCTTTTAAATAATGCTCAATCTAGTGAGTTTAGTGAATCTAGTGAAGATAGTTTTAAAAATAATGAGTGTTTTATTAAAAAAACTATCTGTAGTGAAAAAAATATTTTGAATAATGAAGATGAAAAAATTAATAATGAAAATGAACATAAAGTTAATGAAGAAAATGAAGATAATCGTGAGTGGGATAAGCTTAAACTACCTCGCAACAGTGGTAATTATGTTTTTACAAAAAATATTTTTTTTGCACTGATCTTTGTAACTAAATATATTAATAATAAATTTAATTGTAAGATCAGATCATACTAGTATTATGTTAATCTTATCTTTTATTAATAGGCTCATCACACTTATCTATATCTGACAGTTTAGTAACTGCAGAAGAGGTTGTTCAGTATATGAAAGAATATAGTAGACCAGAAGAGTATAATAAAAAAATTCGACCTGTTATTACATATTCTGGCATAAATGCTATATATCATTGGATGGTTGGCCCTCCAAAACTAGATCAAAAATTAATAAAAGACCGTGATTGGATTTTTATATTTGCTGCAACTGCGTTTGATCAAAATGAAAAATTTCACATAAGAATTTTACAGTCTGTTTATTATGGACTTACAAAATCTAAAATTAATTGCCCAAGGTTTGGTTCTCATTGGGAAAATATTGGGTTTCAAGGTATAGTTTTATAAATTTCGTTTAATTAATTAATTTGTTTTAAAAATTGAAATTGATTTTAGTTATTAAATAAGTTATTTATTTTTAAATCAAATAAGTTGAGCTTTATTTTAATTATTTGAACTAAAAAATTAAACAAAAGTTTTGTTTTAGTTTATAAATAATTAAAATAAAGCTAAATTAACATTATTTTAAAGGAAATGATCCCTCCACTGACTTGCGTGGTTGTGGCATGTTAGGTCTAATTTCTGTGCTTGATTTTATCCAATCGCCAGCTACTTTAGGACTAGCTTCTAAGATCTATTCATTGTCTCAGGATTTAGTGCAAAATTTTCCTTTTTGTATTATGTCAATAAATGTTACCAGAATATCTTTACAGATATTAAGAGAAGGGAAACTAAACAAGTTAGTAAAAACAATTATTTGAATATATATATATATATATATATATATATACATATATATATATATATATATATATATATATATATATATATATATATATATATATATATATATATATACTTTTATATATATATATATATATATGTATATATATTAGTAAGAAAACATCAATTAATACGAGTTTCCTTAATATAATTAATAATTTACTAGCTAAGATCGGACCCGTAAAAATACGGGTTTGAAATAGACTTTGTAAGTCTATTTCAAACCGAACTTTTCTATACTTTTTTCTTATATATCCTAGCTTTCCAGATCCGTAAAATACTTATCTATTCCACACCAATTATTTCTATATCTATTCCTTATTTACCTCAATTTTTTTTAGTAAAATAATTTATTCTGAAAAAAAACATGCGCACCTTTTCTGCATATAAGAGACTTATAGGTTTAGGTTTGCTTTTTTACAAAATGCATTTTATTGATAGCTCAGTGGTTAAGTGCGCTGTCATCAGTGCAATTTTAGGGGGTTTAAAACCGCCTCTAAGCTTAATAAATTTTGAAATTTTTCTAAATCTTATATATTTATAGTGAAAAAATAATATAGCAAAAAAGATTTCGAAAATTTAAAATAAAATTTTAAGTTTTCCCATTTTATAGATATATTATATGTGATTATTCCAAATAAATAAAAAAAGTTCATTTTTTTGATTATGATTAAAAACTAAAGAATAATATCAAACGCTAATCTAAAAGTTAAGCCAAAAAAATTTTGTTTTCAAACTTTCCACTTAGGTGTCAATATATTTCGTGTTTTTTCAATCTTGTCAATTTTTTCAAATATAATAACATACCTACAAAAAATCAAAATAAAACAGCGTGAGCAAAAAATTTATTAGAAAAGTTTACTTATATTTCATACGATCCTGAATAAAACGTTATATAACGGGATTTTTTACATTTTATAATCAATATATATAAATAAATAACATATTTGTTTATATATATATATATACATATATATATATATACATATATATATATATACATATATATATATACATATATATATATATATATATATATATATATATATATATATATATATATATATATATATATATATATATATATATATATATATACATATACAATTAAAAAATGGTTTATATAATGTTTCTTTTGCAAACACCAAATACTATACCTAAATTTTCTTGTGCACTGAACTGCAATTACTTTTTGGTTTAGTGGCTTTTGTTAAGAGCTTTTAAATTTTGTGCCAAATTGTTTCATTTCAATATATTTGTTGTATCATCTATACTGCAGCTGTTTTTCAAAACGCCTTATGTCAAAAAAAATCAATTTTGATTTTTTTACAAAGTAGGCTAGTTTAGATTTCTACAAATATTGTTAAATATATATTTTCAAAGAGTTCTGAAAAAATTCATAAAAATTATTTGTTTCAAAAAACATTTTAATGAGTTTCTCCTAATAATTATTTTTTTATTGGGTTTTTCTCGAAATACGTAATAAGTATATTAAGGCGTTTTGAAAAACAGCTGCAGCATATCTTTATAGTAAAAAAATAAACGTTGGAAAAAAAAACTTTTAATTGTCAAAAGAAAGTTTTTTCTACCTACGGACTTTTTTTTTTTTTGCCTCTACTGCAGCACCTTCTGGAGTAACAGAACTGTCTTATTAAGTTTTTACTTTAATAAGTTTCAGAAAACTTTTTTTTCAGACAATCCACAGCTTATTTGCACTCAATCATGACACATATGCAACAAGTTTTTTGCTCCCAGTGTTTTAATATTTTTAGAAATTTTAGCTTTTTTAAAATCATTTCGTTTGTTAAAGTGTATTAAATTGTTTGATATGTTATGATTTTTATGTAATCTCTATAAAACTTCAAAAGTATTTAGTATTTTAAAATAATTAAAAAAAAAGTTGCCAGTGGTAGGAGTCGAACCATGGCTTACTTGTTTAGAAGCTCGATTTTTGTTTTGACATCGCTGGCAAAAAATTTTAAAACAATATAATAATTTTTTTAATGGAAATAAATGTTATAGATCAAATTTAAGGAGAGTTTGATGCAATGCAATTTACAAGGGAAAATCAAACTATAAAACTTGATAAATGTTTCAGTATATTTTAACATTATTTAATTTGAAGTTTACGTACGTTTGATATTTTCATACACTTTCACTCATGTTTGCTTACAACAAATTGTGTTGCGACTCTTTCTCGCCATTACCTTGATTGCAATGGCCGCTAAGGGTTTCGTGTCAAACAAACTCAAAAGGGCACTACTACTACTACTACTACTACTACTACTACTACTACTACTACTACTTCTACTACCACCACTACTACCACTACTACTACTATGTCTACTACTACTACTACTACTACTACTACTACTACTACTACTACTACTACTACTACTACTACTACTACTACTACTACTACTACTACTACTACTAACAATACTAATAAGTTTGGCAATAATATATAGAGATTATTGAAAATTTTTTGCAGGTTTATGGTTACCAGTATCATCAGCTCTTAAAAATTATACAAAAAATTTTTTTGTAACATTAGAAAAAGTTCAAAATTAACTGATGTCAGCTGTTGAATGGCTTCTTTCTTGCTTACGTAAAAATGTAAAAAACTGAGTCCAAAATTTAGTTTTTACAAACTGCCCGTTATCTAACTTAATTCGGTCATGTAAAGGTGAACATTGGAACCTCTGTATTTCAAGAGCTTTGCACACTGTTTCAACTTTAATTGTTTTTATGTTTTGCCACTTTATTTCTTATAAAATTCTTTTGATTTTATTAGTAAAGTAAGTTCATGGGAGATTGATAAAAACAAGGTTCAAGTTTTTTTTGATGTAATAAACTTGTATCCATTAATACCAATAAAGAAAGCCACTTTAATTCTTATAGACCAATTAAATAAAGATAATTCCTACAAATATTCCACTAAATTTACTATATCTAAAACAAGACAACTCATAGAGCTTTGTTTACACCGTTGTTATTTCCTGTGGAACAACAAAATCCATGAACTTAAGAATTCTGGTCCTATAGGACTTTTATTCATGGTCGTACTTGCAGAATCATTTTTACAACATTGTGAGCAAAACTTTTGAAACACTTTCAAAATTGCAATGGTAGTAAATTTTCCTCTTGGCCTAAAATCCTATCTAAGATATGTCGACGATAGTCACGCTAGATTTTCCAATACCCTTAAAATCAGCAAAATTCAATCAGACTCTCTTAATCTCCCTACTGTATCTTTTCCGTAGATACCATTCCTATACCCGAAACAAAGGAAAATAATTTGGGAAGGCTGGCTATAGAGTAGTCTTCAAATCAAATCCAAGTTTAAGAACATTACTAATGTCAAAAAACAAGACTAAATTGCCACATAATAGTCAACCCGAAACTTATTTGATTGAATGCAAATACTCAAAGAGAGGCGAAACTAAACTTAGGACTTGAACTCAACAACATCTAAAACATTTAAACAAGGGGAAACATCAGTCTGCAATAGCCATCTATAATAAGTTTTGCCTCACAAGAAATAAAGTGGGAAAACGTAAAAATAATTTAAGTTGAAACAAAAAAATTTGATCGAAAAGTGCGGAAAGCTATTGAAATACAGAGGTTCTGATGTTCACCTTAAAATAGCAGAATTAATTTAGATAAAAGGCATTATGTGAAAACTAAATTTTGGACTCTGTTTTTTACACTTTAATGTAAGCAAGAAAGAAGCCATTCAACTGCTGACGTCAGTTAATTTTAAACTGTTTCTAACGTTGAAAATAAATTTTTTGTATAATTTTTATGAGCTGATGATGCTGATAACCATAATCCAGTGAAATTTCTAATTATAAATTATTAACTTTATTAAGAGGATTTTCGTTAATTAATGTTTTCTTACTAATATAACATATACTCTTATACACGATGTGAACACTGAATATATATATATATATATATATATATATATATATATATATATATATATATATATATATATTAATTTAATATAATATATATATATATATATATATATATATATATATATATATATATATATATATATATATATATATATTATATATCAGTTGATGCATGTACTTTTCACTTTTCATAAAAGTTGCTTATGGAGACTTTTTTTTCAACAAAAAAAATTTTTTTTTTTGTATTTATGGAGAAAACAAAAGTGGGTACACAAAAGTTTCCCATTAATTTTTTGCTTCTGTAAGTGTATACTTTACATTCTAATATATTCAATTAATTGAAAAAAATTTGTTATGTTATGTGACAAGGGTGTCCTAAAACAAAATTTTAAAAAAATATATGCTGCCACCCTCTTAATTTGTTCTATATGATAAAAAAAAAATAACACTGGATTTAGAAAATAGAAAATATTTTTAGGTCTCAACACCCTTGAACATTTAACGAGTTCTAAATCAACAAAAAAAGTTTTTCAAAAGTTTATCATGTTGGGTCTCTCAAGTGAAACTATATGAAAATTTCAAAAATGATTATTATATTATAAAAAACTTGTTGAATAAAAATTATTGTCAAAATTGGACAAGAGTAAAGGAAATAAATTCCAGATTTTTTCAGGATTTTTTTTGATAAATGTTTTTCAGATTTCTAAAAATATGACCTGAATGATTTATCTGTTTATTGCTGATTGGTTTCTGGGCATTGTTACATAAGAGAGATTCTTTTATATAAAAATGCATATATACCCAAAAATTTGGAAAGTTTGAACCTTGAGGTCCTCATATTTTCTTCAAACATCTTTGACTTTTGCATGTTACAAAGAAGAGTTCACACAAATAATTTTGGTCTAAAATGATGATATAAGATATATATTTCAATTATTATAATTACCTGTTTTTCTAAAATGACCTGGTTTTGAATAAATGTTTTACATAATAAAATGAAAAATAACAAGGGAAAAAAAATGAAAACAAACAA